AGAATTTGCATATAATTTTATTTATTTATTTATTTTTTTTTTTAAATTTCTGCAAGTTTGTATCTCATTAAAAACGAGTACGACATCTTCCTATAATGAAATTCAATATCGAGAGGTTCAACCAGTTTTATTCATGAATTGTTAATAATAATAATCACACATCTGAATCTGCGTATTGAAAAATTAAAAAAAAATCTTCTCTTGACAAATATAAATTATAAAAATTTTAATTATTTGACAAAATTGTTTATTGTAATCAAATATTTTTTCAAATGAAAAACGTTAAAAATAATAATTTCACTTTTTGTTTGATTAGAAATAAATTAAATTTTTTAAATTTATTTTTAATTTTTGAAAGTTATTTTCCAAAAAAAAGGGTATTTTTTTTTTCATTTGCGCACTTGCTGAAAATATTGTAATTTTTTAATAACGAGAAAAAATGTACCTTTGTCTTTCGTTTAAGATATTTAGTAATCTTGGAGATTGGATTTGTAAACTTTGGCCTGGCCATCTTGATTAAATTAAATTTAAAATTCATTGTTGAAACTTCATTGCTTCGACTCGCCGTGGAATGCAATTTTTCCCGTAGCTTTTGCATTTTTATTTTTTTTTTGTGATCAAATTATTCACAACACCACTGCACTTGAATATTTTATTCAAATGGGGGGGGGAGGGAAAACAAAAATTACTAAATTATCCAGAAAATTCTCAATGGCACTATTTCAACAAAAAAAAAAATTCACTTTTTCTTCCATTAATTTAATTTGAAAATTAATATTTTCCAAAAATTAGAAAAAATTAATTAATGTTTATTATATTCGTTAAAAATCAATTACAAATTTTTTTTTTCTTCCGATCAGAAAAATCAATCAATTTGAAAAAAAATGATTGGATATTTTTTTTTTTCTCTAATTATTGTCTTTTGGAGAGATTACATCTCGCAAATGATTTGTAATGACTTTGTTTACTTTTTTTTAATTATAGAATAGAGTATTTATCTTTTTTTTTATTCCGACACACTTCACTTGTCAGTGACTAAAGTCGTACTGAATCTTCTGTTGTCGTTGAATTGATTCATATAGGGGCAAGGAATTGTTAGCTAATGCGAGTCGCGGTTTAAGCTCATCTATCGCGCATTGCCGGTCGCGCAACACGTGTTTATAATCAACTAGAATTTATTTACCCGTGTGACAATGCACGTAGCCAGGTAAATTTTTTTTTGCAATAATTGCCATTTTAAAAAAAAGTGACTCATTATCACAAATGAAATATGATGGTTAATTTTTTTTTCTCATCGCAAATTCGGTTAAGATTTAAAAAAAAAAAATAATTTTTTTTACCCCTGATTATTAAATTTAATTATAATAATGAATTACATTAATTATTGATTAATGTAGCTTATTTCATATTAATTAATAATGTTAACTGTTAATTAATTTCTATTTAGTTCAATAGTTTTTTTTTTAAATTAAAATTGAATTTTAAAAATTGAATTCACAAATAGAAAATGATTTTTTTTAATGGTATTTAAAAAAAAACACATAAAAAATATTAAGCGCAAAAAAATAAATCACACTTTTTCAAAGAAAAGAAAACTTTTGAAAAAGTTTGTTACAAAATGATAGAACTTATCAGAAAGCAATAAATTATGTGACTCACATTTTTATTGTAATTATTCTTTTGTTTAGAGAATAATTTTTTAATAAAATATATATGTTAATGATCTAACCCTGAAAAGTAAACTATTTTCTTTTTTTTTTTTTATCCAATATTTTGAAATGACTTTAAAAGCGAAATAAATTAAATAATGAGACTCGTGAAAAAATAATGTTCATTTTTGAAAAGTTTAACAATTTATGTAATATAAATTGAGGTATTAATTTTTCAAATAATTGAGTCTAATGCACTTGAGATTGCTTTAAAGTGTTTAAATTTCAAAATTTATACGAATTTACATCCAAACAGAATAATTATCGAACGATTCAAGAAACAAAAGGTTGGGAAATTAATCGACTATTCATGAGATCATGTCTGAAAACAAGTGTCGACTGGCAATGAAGAAGTTTTAATCTCTCTCTCTTTCTCGTAATGAGATGATAAATGTCTATTACATTAAAATGAGAACTTCCACCTAGGCAGACCTTGAAAACAATTATTTACTTCGAAATTGTATAATAATAATAATAATAATAATACTAAAATAATAATTCACTAATTATCAAAATTATTTTCGAAATCATTTTTTTTTCAATTAAAAAAATTAAAATTGAAAAAACTATAGGTAATACTTTAAGATAATCAGTTGATTTAAACCAATTATTCAAATTTGTTTAATAGTAATTAATAAAAGACAATAAAACTTTTTAATCTGATTACAATAATAGCGTAAAAGTGACAATGAAATTATGAGGGAAAAAAAAAATTCTCATTTGACCCAGATTGTAATTTGCGATATTTAATGATTATTAAACTAGATTATTATTATTATTATTATTAAAAAATACGCTCCAGATAGATCAAAATCTTCGGAAAAATTGTTTACAAAAACGAAAGTAAAATAAAAAAATAATTTTTAATTACGAATTATCAGCTGATTTTTATGGGTGACAATAAAAAAAAAAAATCAAACTCGTGACAAGTTACCCGAATAAGAAAAACTTATGTATTCGTTTACACAATTACGTATAGAATATGTAAACATTTAACAGAAATATTTACCAACTTGTGAAAAAAATAAATTTTATCAACTCTAATTCTCTTTAAGAGAATATCATTTCTTTTTTTTTCACAAATTAAATAAATATTTAAATAATATCTAATGAATGAAAAATTAATTTGACCAAAAAAATTGTAATATAATATAAATAACGAATCATTAAAAATGACACTAAAAAAAAAAAAATTCGACGCTAATTAGATAGAAATGAAAATAATTATATGACAAATTATATAGCTGCCATATATTATTTAACACCTCTTTGCTAATGAAAGAGAACAAAATTATCTAAATGAAAATTTAAACTACTACAAATGAGTCGAGATATATATATTTTTTTTTCTTTATATCAGAAACAATAGAAACGGAAAGAGATACACGCAAAAAAAAATAAATAAATAATCGCATGTGAGATTGTTACTTTCTTTAACAAGCAGGAAATTGTAACCGGAAATGTTTACAAAAACACATTAATGCTGATATATATTTTAAAAGATGATAGTCAAGTGCATTATTCTCAATGAATGATCAATAGAGATATATTTTTGTTGCGGTAGGACTGGAAAACTAAAACCCGTTCACCTTTCCAAGTAAAGGGGGGGAAAAAAAAAGAAAAACACATCGACAACAAGTGTATAAAATTATTTTAAATAAAAAATTAACAAATTTGATAGAAAAAAAAGAGAAATTTTATCTCAAAGAATTAAAAAGCTACCATAAATTCGGAACTTATAATTTTGTAATTATAATAATTGAAAAAAATAAATTACCAACTAACTATAAACGATAATAACTAATCTATGAAAATTCAGTTAAACTATACTTTAAAAAATTTACTTTTAATTCAGCTAAAATCGATATGAAATTTATCATAATTTTTAGAATCTAATTTATATATCGAATTTTTTATTTTCTGCAATTAAAACTATTTTTTTTTGCTATTCTATTTGTTTTTTCAAATGAATTTCACGCACAAAAGAATCTGTTTTAATCTATAAAACGAATTATCCGTTTCATGAGAAGTATATATATATATATATATACTTAATATAAAGATTAATATTTTTCTCTATTAATAATCGTGCAATTGAAACAGGTCTTTGAAAAGTGTAATGTGTTATTGTTGTTTGTATTCCAGCATGCTGTCCCAAGGCAATTACCTTGGAGCTTAAGTAACGTACAAAGGTTTCCACACACTACAAATCGTATAGTGAAAATGTTCCAAAAGGATAATAAAATGCAAAATTACATCCAGACATATAATATATAAATATTATATAAAAAAAAATATATATATATATTTATATACATACATGCACAACAGTATGTGAAGTGCAATATTGGGCGACGAAATTTTGTTAACATTTTTTTTTTTTTTTTTTTTTCATCAAATTGCCATATAAATATATATATAGCCTGAAAAAGGGGATAACTATCATGTGCGAGCGAAAATCACCAACGGAAGTAAAGTTATGTGGAGAGTTCACGTAAGAATAATCGTTCATCGAGATTGATACTCCGAGAGATATTTTCGTCCATGAAACAATTACCTTGAAATTTCAGGTTAAAAAATATCACATTACCAGATACAAATCAAAATCAATTTTTAAAAAAAAAACAAGCTAATTTACTTTTTCTTCTGTCATCAAAAATATGTTACTCGACAAAAACAAAAAAAAAATTAATTAATACAATTTACATAATAAAATCTAAACTAAAATTTTTATTTTCAACTTCAAATTTAATTATCTTTATTATAATTAGATATTTTAAATGATTAGGTATATAATTAATTCCTTCAAAATAATTAAACAATGATTAAATAATCTCAAAATGAATTATGTAAATCGAATAATTTATCAGTTAATAATTTTGTATATTTAAAAATCAATTTTGTCATTATATCATGATCTAAAAATAGAATAAAAAGATCGATAGCTTTTTCTCGTTTTATTAACAAAAAGATAATTTATTTTTATTTAAAATTCTTTTGTAAAATTAATTATCGTTCGGAGTTCAATCTCGAATTTTTTTTTTTGATGATCAATGAACGATAAAGATTTCGTGAAAGGCATACACGGATATACGTTTACAAAAAAACTAATTTTTGCAAATCAGATCATTGACGAATAATTTTTCTATTTTTATAAAGATGAAAAAGAAATTATTACATTTTTTTCGTCAAAAATTTGAAATGCAAAATTTTGCAGCTAAAAAAAAGAGTGTGAAGTGACATCAATTAATTATTATTAGGGTGCCTTTCGAATAGCCAAAGAGGTTATACCTCTGGATCCTGTGGCTGCTCATAATAGTCGGCTGATGCTGTTGTCTTCAGGATGCTGTAGAGTTTTACGTATGGAGCCTTGATCAGCTGTGATACGAAGGCAACCCCAAATGTCAAATTCATTTCTCTTACAAATAATAATCTCTATAAAATTATTGCATTAAGGAATTTGTTTCTTAAATTTCTTTTTATTTAACTTTTCTCCCTTATTAATTACTAATTATTAAAAAAGGAATTTAGCTTTACATTTTTCCAGAACATTTTTTTATTAAAAAAAAATCGAAATTTTAATTTAGAATAAGAAACAAATTCTCATAATGCAAAATTTGTATAAAAAAAAAAGTGAACATCAGCCAATTTTTTAAAAAATAAAAATTGATTTAACACAAAAAATAACTCACTAAAACGCTGATTTCACTTATTCCTATTTTTTTCTCGTATTTTTCAAACAACTAATAAAAAGTCTTTTTTTTTAAAAAAAAAAAGGATCAAAGAAAAAAAGGGATTCTCCTCAAGGACGTATCGCGAAATAAAAATGAAATTTTTCCTGTCCCGTAAATAGATAAAATTACAGGAAAAAATATTTACGAAATATAAATTAGAATAGAATTTTAAAAAAAGACTTACCTCCCAAGACTCGCGTGTTAATTCAGAAATATCATCACTGTCACTGTTACGATTTTTATCGTCCTCGGTATTTTCACCACCTTCAGCGTCGTGTGGCGATAATTCCGGTGAAAGATCCGTGTCCGTGTCCGACAAAATATAACCACGTTCCCTCCAATAATTCTCGTCCAATTCACCATAAAGCGATGGCACCCAAGCGTGGATAAATTTATAAAGATCGTCCACTCTAAAAAAAATAAAAAGAAATTAATTAAAATTCCAAATAAAACGCAATTCACAAAAATACAAAATATATTAAATTAAAAATAGTAAAATTACAAATAAAATTTCAAATAACAAAAATATAATATTATTTAACAATGATAAATGAAAAATTATTTTCTAAATGAAAAAAAGGGTAAAATTTTGCAAGAAAATAAAATGAAAAATATTTTAAAAATTTATAAAAGAATTAAAAAATAATATGATAATTGTGAATAATATTACTTTTTGGGGGGGGGGCAGAGGGGCAGTTATGAAGATTCTTAAGAGAAACAATTGATGCATTACCTGCGAGTTAAAAACAACTGAGCGTTTCCAACGAAATCTGGCATGTTGAGATAATCATAGAAGCGAGACATTTTCTTGACTGTAATGATCGTCAACGAGTCTATTTTGCGAGCAGCTTTAAATGAATTTACGAGAAATAGAAAAGGATGAATATGTAGATGAAACGACTACGACGACGACGACGACTGCCAACTAATATTAATGTGCACTTGCACGGTTCAACGTCATTTGCATTCCTATGTTATAACTATATTCAAAATCTCGTCTTTAACATGACTTTTTACTCATGCCACGTGACTTGGATTCATTAATAAATATTACATTAACTCAAAATCAATGGCAAGCAAAAGCGCCAACATTAAATGCTAATTTTATTCTAATTGAGACGAAAATTGCCTTTAAATGCGTTCAACACTTGTAATCTTATCTTTTCTCCATTTATACATATCTTTAAAAAAAAAAAAATTGCAAATTAACAATTTTTTAAATACATTATCAATTCTGATAATTCTTTTTTAACAAATTTTTTTATTTCCCCCCCATTTCAATTTTGTATAGAAAAATTTATTTTATAAATAAAAAATAAATTTTATCATTTTAAAAATAAAATTAAAAATCACAATTCGATGATATTTTTTCTTTAGAATTAAAATCGAATTTTTGTTTTTGAAAGAAAAAAATAAAAAATTGTCCAGTCATTTCCCGGATCTTCAATTCAGTGGATAGAAGATAAAAGTCATTTTATTATTACTTAAAATTGATGAGAGAATAAAAATTTCATTGGCAATGGAATATTGTAAAATAAAAATTATAAAATAGAAAATAATATAAATTTACATTAAATATTATATTTTGAAGGACAATTTTTTAAGTTTAATAAAAAAAAATTAAAATACTTTAAGTATAGTGTTAATCTAGGTTAAAACCTGATAATCAGAAAACGATTATGTTTGTGTGAATAATTATTTCTGAATGATCACTGGTTAACACTAATTACATCTAATGACGTCAAATATTAATAAGAGAAAATTTTTTTTTCAACTATTGGAAATGAATTTTATTTTTTGTGTAGAATTTCTAAAAATTATTGACACACGCGTTATCAGAGGAATAACAATCGAACATGAAACACGCGTTACTAGTGAGATTTCCAAATTTACAATTGACGAGAGAACAATTAACTTTTCACATTGTCATTACGTGGCTAACTGATTATACTTGAGTAAATACACCTGACACTCTCACAGCTTTTTCATAGGTTCGTGTGATTCGCGCCAACTTTTAAAATTTGCAACAATAAAAAATAAACAAACAAAATATAATTATAAAAAAATTAATATTATGCAAAAATAATTCTACTTTATTTTATTTATCTTGCCTATTTTAATCTATTATTAATTTTTTTTTTTGCTATAAAAAAATCAAATTTCAATTTTGTTTCCACTTTTTTCAGTAATATTCTTTTAAAGTAGAATTTCTTAATTATATTGAAATTTTAATTTAAAAATGTTGAGAAGAAATGAAACTCATTACAAGTTAAATCAAAAGATAAAAGAACAGTAAACGAATAATATATGAAGAGAGACGAAACTCATTAAATGGAAAGAAAATGAAAAAAGTCACAAAATGAAGAATGAGTATAAAGGAGTGTGATTTTGTAAAAAAAAAAAAATGAGAACAAAATGAAAAAAATATTTTTCTCTTACCTGTTGCGTGGAACACTGAACCAATATTCAGGTCGTAATTTCTTTTTCCCATAGCTCATAATTGGAGTCGATCTTGGGATTTTCTTGTCCTTTGGCCTTCCAGTTCGAAGCCTTAAATATAATGGTGGATCCTCACACGATCGAGCCGGTCGTGGAATTAATTCTATTATAAGAAAAAAAGAAAAACAGAAAATATTGTCAAATTTTTTTTCAATATATCAAAAAAATATATATATTACAAAAAAAACTGAATTTTAATAATCAGTAGCGCATTAGCGTACAAATAATTCACTGAAGCTCACAGCTTTTCACAAGACGTCCACCGAAAACTTTCACAATTCACATGAAAAAAAAAAAAATCCACATTGATCAATAAATATAATTATGTATGTTTCAATAAATGAAATCAGTTTATTTAATATTAATGCACGAATGAAAAAGGATGATGAGCGAAAATGAAGCGACAGTTCTATATTAGAAAAGTAAATGAAAATGTTTAGCACAAAATAAATAATAAGGAAATTGCATATTATAATTCACAAATAAACAACACTGTAAATAAATTAATTATAATTTAATTAAATAATAATTAATTACGCTTAAGTGAATTGAAAATACGCTACTGATAGAGGAGGCTACGATTTTCTAAAGAAACTCAAAACAACGTCTTCAATTCAAATGAAAAAAAAAAACAAAAATTTTTGTTAAATATTACAAAAATAGAAGACGGCAAAATTTCTATATTTAGAGATCGAGTTTACTTATTTTATTTATTATTTATTCAAAATAGGATTAAAACTTTCAGTTTTTTCTATTAAACCTACATTAAAAAAATTCCAACAAAAAAAGAATAAAAATTGTACTAAATATTCATCCGATTATAATACTAAATAATTAAACATATATAATCAAATCGCTACAAATTTCAATTTTAATTACAGTGTCTACAAAGAATTATTTAATCATTATCTTACGTGCCCTTTCAATTGATTGAATATACTAAAGTTCTACATTCGAAAATGATAAATAACTAAGTGCAATCGAGATAATAATACCTAATTCCATAAAATGCAGATTGTGATAATGACAAAGTGAAAGCAAAAAGCATTAGGATAGTACCGAAAACTCATATAAAGAAAAATCGAGCAGAAAATGAGAAAAATTTTGAAATAAAAATTAGAAAAGCAAAAAAAAAAAATATGTTTTATTTATATTTAGTTTTTTTTTGTGCGATTTTATCACGAAATTTCCAAAAAGCGTTTAAAATAAAATAAAAAATCACACGAAGCTCAAAAAAAGAAAAAATGTAATAAAAAATTGACAAAGAGACAAAAAAGCAAAATTTCTGGAACGCAAATCGCGAAAAAAAGGGGGATTACAAATGCAATTACAATATGAACCTACCGAGGCCTTCAAGTTCGGGAAAATTAGGTGCTTGGACTAGAGGGACAACAGAAACAAGATGATATTTTAGCATTAGTAAAATGAAATATAAAAGATCCCACGTTATTATGAAACTTGTTGATGAAATAATGATTCTCTAAAAATGAATTTATCAATGATTTTTTTTTTGTTTTTTTTTTAATAATGTTAGTGTAAAATGAACAACAAGTTTCAAAATATGAAAAATTTAAGAAAATGATTTTCCACATTTTTTTTACCAAAGAATTTCAAAAAAAAAGTCACATCTGCTTTATTAAAAAAAAATTTTAAAAACGCAACATTATTATTCTTCTAAATCCGATTTACTATTTAAAAAAATAGAATCGTAAATGCAACGGAGGATCTAATCGTGAAAAACTGATCTCTGAACAAGATATTAAAATTGAAATATATAAGAAATTTGAAAAAAAAGAGGAAAAAATTTTTTTATCGAAACTCACTGTCAAAACTGACGAAAAGTTCAGGCATATCGTCCACCGAAACCATACTACGATAATCCAATTTTGGTGGTGCTGTCGATGTTTTACTTCCTCGATTACTATCCACACTGCTACTTCCCGATGAATTCAAAGGCTGCTGACGAATAAATGTTCCAACCGAAGATCGTCTGGAAAAAATAAATTCTCAATATTTCTTATATTTAATTAATAACAAAAAAAATTGCACTTCAAAATTACGATTTAATATATTTTTTCAATTTTCATTTTACAGAAATGTTTCTACACATTTTCTACAACAATAACATACAACAACAACAACAGTAAATATTTAAATTAGAAAAAAAAAAAAACTTATTACATTTTATCATTATTCAATAAAAAGAAGTGAATTATTGAAAGCTCGTAATTTTGAAGCTCGATTTAAATAGCTGACAACACTGAATGAACAATGATTGAACAAATTCAATGCCAGCGAGAAAGAATGAAACAAAAATTTACAAATTCGTAGGCAAAAAAAAGCTGTTTTTGTGTCAGCCGTGTTAGTAAGCTAAAAGAAACTGCAATAGTTGCAAGTGAAGACTTACAAACCCTTTGTTTAAAAATAGTATTGTTAAATCATTATTTATAATTCTAAATAGAATTTTCTTAAATTATAAAAATTTTAATTATATTAACAATTAGTTAATTAAAATATTAAAAAAAAATGATTTCCTCCACTTGTAATTAATGCGTAAGCGAAATCCTAGTGTAAGCGCATTGTATTTAAAAAAAAAAATTGTCCTGTAAAATCGTTGTTTTCCCACATGTATTTTTCATTATTTCCAGTTTTATAAAAAATTTCTAATAAAGCCGAATGACAAAACTCAAAAATAGTAAGAACGATGAGGAATTTTTTTTTATTATTATTTTCTATTAAAAATTTTATATCACAAAAAATAAATTTTAAAACTATTGTTCTGTGGTAATTAAAATGAGCTATTTTTTTCTATTACTAAGTCTAGATAAGGTACTTTTCTTTATAGAAAGAAGACTTTTTTTTTTTAGAAAAGAAACGATGTGAAATAACTAAAAAGATCCTCATTTTTCTTCCTGTGGACAAAGTTAACTTGATATAGTTGAGTTTGATATGACGATGAGATTAAAAAAAAAAGAGAGAGGAAAAAAAGGTAGATAATTTCACTGGACGAAGTTGGATGGCGAAACAACTCACCCAATAATACTTGAAGAGATATGAGGATTGCCGAAGGCGTCCTGAGAGAGTGAGGAGGCAGTGAGTGGAGGTGTACCTCCAACTCGACCACCTCCGCCGCTCTCTTCGCTGGGGGTTTTAGCGAATAGGCCCGAGCTAAAGTCACTCACCAGGTTGATCGGCGAGCTTTTTTCCACCACCATTACACATTCTTAGTTATTCACATGATGAATAATTTCGACAGTACTTTAAAAGCATTAATTTGCCCGCTTTATATAACAATAAACATTTCTCATTTCGTTTCCTTATATATTTTTTCTCCTATTTCTTAAATTAATTAATAATAATTCTTCAATTTTATTTATTTTATTCTTTAAATTTTCCTTTTTCGAAATTGTGAATAAAACTCAAAACCAAATGAGAGATGCATTTTTAATAATATTGCTTATTCGGCTTGCAGCGAAGTTCAATTAAATTCAAGTGAATTTGATAATCGCCTCATGCATTTAAAAAAAAAATTATATATTTTTAATTAATGTCAACTTCGTGTCTCGTTCGATTAATAGAGAGAGCAATTTAATAAGGCGCAGCCTAAAATTCTATATAGAAAAATATTTTCGAACGAGAACGAAATTTTTAACAATATTTTTTCGAATTATATTTGCGAATAAGAAAAAATCTCACCTGGAGAAGACCTTGCTAAAAACGGAAGAATGCTGACTGTCGGCACTATTTGGTAGGCTTGACATTTTTTCACTCGATCTACTGTCCTCTTCTTTATCACCAGTTAGGCCCTCCATCCAAGTCAATGGATACGATAGTCGTTTTAACATCTGCAAAAAATTAAGATTTCTATAATTAGAAATTAATTAATTTAAATTAAAATGATTTCTTTTTGGCATTTTTTTTTTAATATTTTGTTTAAATTTTGTTCATTTATTTTACCTTATTTTTCCTTGTCTCTTGTTTATCTTCCTCCTTGTGCTCGTCATCCTTCTCGGTCTCTTCGGTGTTACTGTCTAAACTAAATGACACGGAACTTGCCTTTTTCCTACAAATACCAGAATCAGCGTCAAGTGTTGTTGTAACATTCGTTGGCGCGATCGTAATCGGAGGAACCCAATCTGTTGAGAGAACAATGTCCGCATCCGAATAGACTTTCTTCGATGGAATTTGCTGTACAATTGGAAGAGGAGGATTTGGATCACGAATATCGATACCAGAATCGTGGCACGATTGTTTGACTAGAGATCCTTCTTCCTCGGGAATCGAATTTGGTTTTCCTCCATCCACCTAAAAAATTCAACAAAAAATCAATTTTTTTTTCTTAATGTATCTTATTAATTTTCTTTTATTCAATTAGCGATTTATTCTCTAGCGATTTTAAATTAAAAAATTTTCATTAACAATTTTATTCAAAATCATACTTTATCGGAATTAAGAGAGTCTTGCTGCTCATCGTCCACTGACAACGAACATCGATCTTTGCTAGGAACGGCCCAATGATGGTCCAACATCGAACGCCTGCGTTCTTCCAAAGTTTTGCCCGCCTGACCACCGACAGCCTCATCGCTATTCTTTTCCTTATCTTTGGTCGAATTTTCATCCTGAAACAAAAAAATTTAAATTTAAATATTTATTATTAATTAATTACAATATAAATTTTAAAAAAACAAAGATAAATAAATTTTTTTTTCTTACGGTCTGTAGATTTGTTGGTGTGACGAGATCTCTCTCGAATGCTTTGGGAAAAGCGTCACCTTCACGTTCAGCACAACTGCAAACACTCTCACTATCGTCAGCTGTTAATTCAGGGAAATTCTCATCTTTTCCAGGTGATTGACATTTACTTGCTCCTGATTGTGGAATTTTTTTCATATAATATATTTCTGGTTTTTTATCTTGATTATTTGACTCTGTATGACTGACGCGCATATGTGCAATATCATAATAAATCGCGGCATTCACGACAAATTCCATTGGTGCAATAACACCATAAGATTCCGCTCCATGCTCAATGACAAGTGGATCCGAGACATTTGGATCAAACATCACAGCGTTCGGTGTCACTAATAAAACACCACCAACGACTCCCTAAAAAAAAAAAAGAATATAAATTATTAAAAATTAAAATATTTAATTTAATATTAAAATTTTTTAAATTATCAAAAAATTAAATCTCACCTGTCCATCTGTAATATGACGAACATTGATTTTAAGAAACCTCTCCTTATACGGTCCATCTTCGTCCATGACTGTACTATTTTGAGGTGTTCTAATCCTTTCCAAATGTCCTGGTTTGGGAGAAACAGGTCTCAGGTTACCCAAAAGTTCTACAAAATTTAAAAAAATTTAAAATGACATAATTTTTTAATAAATATTTAATTATTAGTCCATTTTTTTTCATTACTACGTTTTTTTCTGCGTATTTTAAAAACTTGTAACATTTTCGTTTCAAATGAAACTTTATTCTCCATATGGAAAATATTGACAATATTTAAGACTGTTGTAAAGTGTCATACACTGCGTTTTTTTTTTTTTAAAAAAGAGTTGAGTCATAAAACATCACATCTATTTTATGGTATATAAACTGTGCGATTAAACGTTTTGTGATTACGTTTTAACGATTCAACGAGTTGTTGCCTTTTGCAGGTCATTTAAAATTTAAATAAATTAAAATAATTCTCGTCATTATTGGCTTATAAAGAAAAAAAAATTAGAGAAAAACTATTATTTAACAATGGAATGAAAAAAAATTTTTTTTTTTTTTCGTGAAATATAATTTTTCTACTTTTTCTATAATTTTTTTAAATTAAAATTAGAAAAATAAAATACCTGACTTCTGAAACATAACCGCACAGTGTTTCTTATATTGGTCCTATCAGTTGAATAGACAGTTTATGAATAACTATTTCTAGACAATTGTGAGAGAGAGAGACTCTTATCAATTCGGTAGTTATTTGAACAGATGCAAAACAAAACTGATAAGCTTCTGAAGGTGATATATTCACATTTAGAAGAAACTCTACACTTTTGTACTCGCAGCATTCAAACGCAAAGTAACAAAAGATGCCAGTAAAAAGATTTTTTTTTTTTTTTTTTGTAGAATCAGCTGATCGAAACAGAATAATTTCTACTCTAATGCTTAATAATTACGCAATTAGACTCAAAGATGCATAATTAAACCTGGATTTGTAATTTACAAAAAAAAACCTTGCTCAACAATTCTTTTCACGATTTGACACCTGTCGATATTTTCCTACATTTTTTAATTATTTAATTAATTATGATTAATTTTCATTTACTTGTAATTTAAATTTTTTAATGCATTAATTACCAATTGGTATTTTTTTTTATCAATCAAAGAAAGTTGATTAATTACTAATATTATTAAATTAAATAATAATTAAATTTCATTATTAATATTAATCTATTAATTAAATTAAATATTCAGAATAAATTAATATTACCTTGTTAAAAAATAATAAAAACTTAGAATTTTAATTACTTGCATTGTTTACTTTTGTTTAGATCTGAAGTAAAAAGAAAAAAATGTTTTAAAATTGAAAGTAATAAAAAAGCCAATTAAATATTTACTTAATTACACTAAGTTATTACATAATTTATTACACTGAGAATAAATATTACGTTAAAGGCATTAAAATTAACATATTCTAGCCAATATATACAAGAGTCAAGTTTACACTTATCGAAATTTAAAATATAATAGTTCTTTGAAATAATAAAATTTTATGTACAAAATTAGCTTTTTTAAATTATTCAATTTACTAAAAATAAACTAAAATTTTGTCATTAAAATTACTTTCTTTGATTAAAAGAATAAAAAATACCAGAATAAATTATTATTATTCTTTTTATTAAAAACTATAGTTTCAAAAAAAAAAAAAATCTTAAAAATTCGAATAAAAAAAAATTCAAAAATCGGTAAAAAAGAAATTCTACTCAAAAATCACCGAAAAAAAAAATCAATTACCTTTTTCTTCAGGTGGAAGATCATCCTGAGAATCATGATCATGAGCAAGATCAGGACTTGGTGCTTCGGCAGTCGTACCTTCTCCTAGACAACCTTCACCTTTTGTTGGTACCCATAATTGTTGACCGGGATAAATAAATGTACTTCCAAGCCTATTGAGTTTGCTTAATTCTGACGGGGTTGTGTCGAATCTTGCAGCTACCGATGTGAGTGTATCTCTATCGCCCACCTAAAAAAAAAGAAAAAGAAAATATCAATCATCTCTTAACTATTAAATAATTCATTCGGCTCTTTATAAAAAAAAAAAATTGCTTCACAATGTCAAGTTATTGTTTTCAAAATAAACAATTTTTACAAGAACAATAATTCAATAAGAAACTGACAAATATCATAAATCAAATATTAACAATTGCGTCAATACTTTTATCATCTTTTATAGTATTTATACAATTATTTATTAAATTAATTAATTTTAACATTAATAAAACATATTAAAGACAAACAAGATATAAATATAGAAAAAAAAACAAACAGAGAAATAACATATTTATTTAGGGAAAAAAATAAAATATGAGAAAACAAAGCTTTGATTTGCGGAAATCTAAAAAATCGACTTAAGGATTTTTCTTTTTTATATATAGTATTAAAGAATTTTGTTCGGAAATGACCCACAAGTAAATGGACGGATAATCGGATTTAAAGATCAAGCAAAAAGCATCTTCAAATGGCATTAATCCAAAGGTGAATGAATATTTTTCAACTGTAAAATACTGAAAACTTGAATTTCAAATTTTCTTTTTATTATTATTTAATTTAAAATAAAAATAAATCGTTAAAATATAATTTCTTCATTTAAAACAATTATTTTTAAAAATTTTTCAAAATAATTTTTCTACCAGTTAGAAAAAAAAATATATATTTTCAAAAATATTCATCAAACTGTTTCTTTTTATTAAATCAGTAATCAATATTCAGGTATTTTAATGTGATTTTAAAATTTTTTCAACTCTCATCACTCTTTAAAAAAGGAGAGAGAAAAAAATAAAGTTATTATTTAAAATCGAGTCAGGATTCACATTTTGCTCGTTACGTAATGCTATATATATATATATATATATAAATATATTAATTAAAAGTGGACAACCGTTTGATCTGTCAGAATTCACATGCTGAATATCGAAATATATTAAAATTAAATTTGCATCATGACAACTGCAGTGAATAATAATCCATAATTAATAATTACATTATATGAAACAATTTCGTGTTTTCTATAAATGAATTTATATATACCTATATATATATTATATGAAATTATGGTATTCGACGTTGAAAAATCGAGTAATTTCAATTACATTTTAATAAATTTTGCCATTAATTTAGTATCATTATTATAAATTAACGTAAGCATTATTTTCAATATAATTAATATTAATAATAAACTATAATTAAAATAGTTTATTAAACTAAATTATTATACATAGAAATTCATCGTATAATTTAAACAATGAACTAAAATAAATTGAATTAAAGTGAGAAATTAAACACTAATTAAATTGAAATAATATTTTTGATTAAAAATTATTCTCAAAAATTTGATTATTTAAAATAATCCAATAAAAATTTATTATCTTTGTGCGTTTTATTTAGTTCTACATTTAATTTTGATAAACATTTTTTGTAAAATTTTTATTTCATGAAAAAAAAAAAATTTCGAACAGAAAATTCAATTTATGGAAAAATTTAGTTTAAATTCGAACTTTATTTTTTTGGAAAATATTGCGTCTTAAAAAAATTCAATGTCTGGTAATTTTGAACAGCAAACGAAATCAGTACACATCGTGAACGAAATAAAACGACCGAATCAATAAACGCGACTAATGTTCTGTAAACGTAATAATTTTATCCTTCTTGCTGTTAGCCTTGTTCCTATACGAAACTATATAAAAGTCAATAATAAATCTTTCATGGATTCTTTAGCATGCCAACTCTATTCCTCATATCTTTGCGCTGTTCGAGGTGAAGAGCCCGATCCATATTATATACATATATATATTAGAATTCCTGTCCCACATAAAGTCATTGTTAGGAAAATGATGGTCAAAAAGAAAAGAAAACCCATTACTCGAGTTTTTGTGAAATATTTAAATATTAAAGCAAAAGAGAAAAATAGGCTTTAAAGCCAGAAGAAGAAGAAGAAGAAATGGACAACTGAAAGGTGAAAAAAAAAAAAGTTGACACTGCTCTATAAAATAAAAAGACGGAGATACTGTATTATTTTTCATCCCCCTTTTCCCTGCTAAGTTTCACAGCACAAAAGTGTTTCTCTATCTCTGTTTCTATACGTGCAGATTCTCTGAGTCCCAAAGAGAAAAATTTATTATTGAGCGGAAGCCTCTTTCAGAAACATCAGACAATTGAAATTCTCTCGGTGCTCTCATTTTTTTTTTTGCTCCTTCTCAGCTAAATTAAAAAATAATAAATTTTACTGCAATTTTTTGATAATTCTTTCGTGAATATTTTCGGTTATTTAAATTTACGAATAAAATTTTTTAATGTAGTTAATTATTTTTTTAAATATTGTACAATAAAATTTAAAATGAAATTAATAATAATTATTGAAAATTGAAAAATATTTAAAAGAAAATTATAAAAGAAATGTCCCATGAGAAGTTTATTTTATTAAAAATAATAAATTTTAGTGCAATTTTTTTGATAATTCTTTCGGGTTTTTAAATTTACGAATAAAATTTTTAAATGTAGTTAATTTTTTTTTTAATTTTGTACAATAAAATTTAAAATGAAATTAATAATTATTGAAAATTGAAAAATCTTTAAAAGAAATGTCCCATGAGAAGTTTTTTTTTAATTTTAAACAAAAATATAATTTTTAATTTAATAATGAAAATGCCTTGTATTTATAAATAAATAATACAAGGCTTTTTTGTATTATAAATAATTAATCGGTTTTAACAAAAAGAAAATTATTTTTTGGATTAATTGGTACATTTACCATTTTGCGTACTAAAAAAAAATTGGTACAATTTTCTCTAAATAATATTTTGCACGCCTGTCGCAAGGGAATGACGAGGGGGTCTGATTAGTGTAATCAACAGCAATTAATTCATCGACAAGGGAGCATGGCATACGTAACCTAGAAACACGCGGACACGTATTGCAAGGGTCAAGTCAATCCTAATTACAGCTCCGATTAATTAGAAGGGTCAATTCTGTGAATATATATAGATATCGAAATAGCAGATGTGCCTAAATCACAAATCGTAAACGTCAATGACAACCGCGTGTGTTCGTATAAATAGATTGAAAATATCGATATTTTCTTTTTTTTTTTTTTTGCAATCCTAATGACAAAGCATTTTAACTTCCTGCTTTGACAGATTATTTCCTCTCTGATATAATAAATGAAAATATATCCATAATTTTTCCTCTTTTTTTTTTTTTTTATCAATGAGAGAAACGTGTCTCGATAAAATCTCTTTATCAGTGTATAAAAGAAATTCTGTTTTCATCTGCTTATCAAAATTTCATATCTTATCTGTGATTGCAAATTTTCAAATTAGTAATACAAAAGAAGTGATTTCATTTCTGTATATACTTCACATAAAAAAAATCGATTTCTATTTTATTTAATTTTTATATAATATAATAATTAATATTAATTTTTATAAAGCAAATTTTTGTTTCAGAAAAAAAAATTTCGTAAAAATCGAATTTCTAATGGATTTTTAAAAATTTTGCAACAAATTGTAAAGAGGAAATAATGATTGACGAGAGTAGATATATTTTGGTATAATTTTGGCTGCCACAAGTCATACATAGTTCGCGTTCACGTGACATTCCTTGATTCACCCCTTGAGCTCTAGAATTTCGCAAACGCTCTAACGGAAATTTTCCTCGTTCCATATATAACAAGAGATGAACTATCTTAATATTGGCATATGATAAAATAAACTAGAAATTAAATTTCAACTAATTAATTTTCCAAAGACAAACTTCTATAATATAATAAATTTGCTTTATTAAATATTATTATTTAAGAGTTTATTGACTTCAAATTAATTAATCGAATCCAATAAAAAAATCCGATTTTTTAAATCTGTTTTTAAATCCGATTATTTTAATAATTCCTGATAATTTCATTATTATTATTATTATAATCACTGTTCTTGTGATAATTTATCTATAAAGTTTTTTTTTCTCTCTCTTTCTCTTTTTTTTTATCAATTTGATAAATGATTAAAAATAAATTTATCGATGAATCACGAGATTCTGTTTACCAAGTTGGATCGATATAATATACCTTTTGTAATTAATCAATTTTCGTTATGATACGTGTATATATATATATATTTTCTAGGAACGTTCATGTAATCATGTTACAACAAATTATGAGCCGTGTAGCCAGATGTGGAGAATATCCAGCAAAGTACGCAGCAGGTAATTTCATTAAGCAAATTAATATTACCCACGGTCTATTACCCATCCTCTTAACGGATAACTCACATTATTGCGGATTTACTAAACATCGCGCGCTCTCGTCCTATGGCTCCACTACTAGTTATTACTATCTATTAATTCCATGGCAAATACTATTATACTGAACGATGCCTAATTTCACGGAAAATCAATCGAGCGAAAATAGATGTTTTTGAAATTTAAAATTTCTTTTTATTTCAATTTTGATATTTTTTTTGATTTTTTAATTATAAAAAAAAAATTGAAAATTTCGAAAAATATTTCCATCTCTTTTATCTCTGGTTAAAGGAACCAAAAATTTCCGTTCGCCGAAAGGAAATGTCACTTCCTATCAGAATGAAAAAAGCAAATTTTTTTTTTATAATTTATGTTCGAGATTAGAGTACAATCATAAATTATTAAAAAAAATGTAGCTGCTCTTGTTCTATGATTTTATATAATTACTGAATTATTAATTAGCTGAAATGTTATTTTTTTATATACGAAAACAAAAATGGTAGAAAACAAAAAATTGAGTAAAAAATTTCAATTAGTTAATTCTTTTTTAAATACAATTTTATAGTAAAGAATTTTAATTAAAAACGAATTCCATCTGTTTGCCAGGAAACTTTTTGAATTAAAAGAAGCTTTGATGTCTGTTTGAACTTTAGATTAAGAGACATTTCTAAGTTGCGGCCTGGTTGCAGAGAGAGAGAGAGAGGGAAAGAGAGAAAGCAAAATTCTATTGAATACAAAATGATAAAAGAAAATTCGAGTTACAAATTACTCACCGTATAAGCGGTGGTGCTAATGGGTTGTGATACCCGGCCATGTTTCTTTTCTTGGGCTGACGAACTATCCTTGCTGTCATTATCGGAATCTGGAAAATAATTAAACATTATTTTACAATTTCAGAAAAAAAATTTAATTTTTATAATTCAAATAATTGAATATTTTATTTATTATCTTAATATTATTTTATTAATATTATTTATTAATATTATTTATTATTAATAATAATAATATTAAATTAAAAATAATTAAATAACCGTAAATTATTATTAAACAATTCTCCCAATCATTTGTTTCTTCCACCAATTGAAATTAGAATCAGAATGAGCCAAAAATTTTGAACGTTCAAATGAACGAAATTTTTTTTGCAACTACGAATTTTGTTTTAAATATCTAAAAAGAAATTATTAATTTAATAATTGTTTAATTTACTGTTTTATTTTACATGGACATCATCAGTTTTAATAATTTATAGATTGAAAAAAATATTTCGTTCATTTAAACGTTTAAAACTTTTGGCTCATGAATCAGAGAAAATTTTCCGTTATTATTATTTTAATAGAACCATAAAATTAAACTTGTTTATACAATGTTTGAAAAATTTTTTTTTTTTGTGTGATAAACAACAGATGAAGTCTCGTGATGAATTTATATTATAAAATAGTTGATGAGAAGAGACAATAATCTTCAATTTATCGCGGATTGTTTTCTCAATATAAATGAGTAACGATACGTTTTCTTTTGATTTCTGCGAGCACGAGCTTTTGTCATATTATTATTATTATTATTATTTTATACAGGACTGTTATTCAAATGGCAATTAAAATTATTTAAGCGAATGTCCTTCTATTGTCAAATCCATCATTTTCAGGGACATATATTTTTTTTTATTATTTGCAAGTTACATTGTTATTAAAACATAAAAATAATTCAATATTATTGTTTGTCATTATGTTAGGAAAATATTTTTTTCTTTATAACGTTAATTTTCCAATTTTTGAATTTTAATTTTGGAAAAAAATTAAATTTTTCAAATATTTGTTATTTAAAATCTAAATTAGAAAAGTGAGTTATTATTATTGGTAAATAATTTTGGTGATTCAAATTTAAATTTAAATTAGAAATTTAATAAAATCTGATTAAAAAGATTTTTGAATTAAAAAAAAAACTGTAACCATACCGAGATATAAAAAATATTGAGGTGTTCCACGGACTACGTAATAGACTACGTAATTTTGCAATTCTTTCTTAAAGATGTGAACATTCTTGGCCTCATATTCCCCATTTTCCCACTCGGATGCTGATACAGGAAATGTGCAATCCATATTCCTTAAATTTGACCCCCTTTTGTGATAATAATTACATATATTCACCATAAAACACTCACAATTTTCTTATACATTTTTTGATTTCACTTTTTTAATTAAAATTCTTCAAAAAAAAAAAAAATAATTCATGTGTCACAAATTTTTGAATTTTTTTTCTGAAATAAATAGGAAATTAAAAAATTTTTTTAAAAAATAAAATATTAAATTTCCACTTTTAATTTTAAATACAATCTAAAGAGAAAATATTTAAAATATAAAATATTTATTTATATTTTAATTTAATTATTTTTTTTTTAAATTATAGAGAATAAATTTTTTTTATCACACAAAAATTTCAAGTATGGACAAATTCATTTATTTTCTATATAAGTCACATGTGCTTCAGTTGAGAAGTTGAAACTGGGACTGAGAGTTTCTCACACCTCAATTATCAGAAGCAGGACCGTCTCTCACAAAATTGCGGACGAAATTAAAAATCCATTTTTAGATAAATATTCCATTAAAATTATTATTTTTTTTTTACAAATATTTCTATTTAATATGGCGAATAAGAATTTTTTCAATAATTCATAAGAGTAAAAAATATAACATTTTTTAAAAAAAAAAATTGAAATAAAATCACAGAATAAAAATAAAAAAACAGAAAATTTTAAATAGTCACTAAAAAAAAAAAAAATTGTTTAAAATATAATAAAAATTCTTGAATATATTTTTAATTGTCGAATTTTATAATTTAATAAAAATAGAAAATTTCTTTTTTCAAATGAAAAAAAAAAATTCCATTCTCAGTATTTATAATATATTTTACGGAGGTATTTGAAAATTACGAGACGGTCCTGGAGACGTATTAAGTATCTACAGATCTTTTTGCATGCGTCTGTTAATTACAGACGGTATTACTTACAAGTCGATTAGTTAAAGCAGACTCAGAAAATGAGGTTCCTAATTGTTTTTTTTTTCAAAACTATGTATATTACAAAAAAAAAAATTTGAAACAATTTTTTTTTTTTTTGTAGCCTATTGCTAATAATTTACAAAAAAAAAAAAAACTTAACACTTCTATAAATACTGTTTTTTTTTTCTTCGAATTCTATATTTTATCTATATAGAAACGTTCGATAAGATAATATTAAAAAAACGAGGTTACATTATATTGATAATTAAAAGTGTTTAATAGACACGCACTGATAACGATTTCCAATAATAATATAGGACTGTAAAAAAGTTCTAATATATATATATTATTTTATTGATTAGGTCACTGAACTAAAAATCAAAATTAAAACGTCAATTTATAAAAAACAAAAATTACTTGCGTAAAATGTGAAAAAATTAACACGAGATAATAAATAAATAATAAATTAGATTAAATTAAATTGTAAATTTTAATACAGAATTTTAATTTTATTTCCTTTTTTTTTCTAAAACATTAAACGCACGAGGTTATAAAATAAGTCTGGAATCTTTTACAGTGTGGTTATTGAAGAATGACAGGTAAGGTATAACATTTACGATATTTTTAGTTTTACGATCACTTTTAACAATTTAAAAACAAAATTAAAGCATTAAACCTCAAAAATAACGTAAAAATTGTATTTTCTTACATTTTTCATGCTTGAGAAATTTCTTCAAAAATAATTAATTTAAAAAAAATAAACCACTTTAAAATCTAAATTTTAAATCTAATATCTTTTAACTGCAATGCAAATTTAAATCCTGCAGGTGTTGTTTTATAATATGAATATTATTTTTCACAATTAAAAAATATCTCACGTCAATGCGAATATTATAGATAACAAAAATAAAGATAGAATTATTAATAATTAAAATTATTAGAATTAGAATTAAGAATTTTGACGTTAAGTTGTTACATAACCTAAAAAGCATTTATATAATTGTTTCAAACTTATTTATATCTTATTCATTAATTATTTATTATTGTAAATAAAGTAGAAAATTACTAGTGAAATAATGCAAATTATATCCATAGTTAAATAATGTCAGTTCATTAAAAAAAAAAATACAAAAAACAATTTAAAAAAAGAGGAAAAAATTACAAAAAAACATGTTTAAAAACAAACCATTGTTTCATATATCAAAAATTTCCCATAGAATTCTCTTCTAAATATAATTGCACTAAATTCATTTTAATTAATTGAGTAAAAAGAAAACTTGAAAAAAGATTTAAATAAAAAACGTCAAATTAACACATGTGACTTGTTTATAATTTGTTTTGCAAATTTTAAGCATCGATTAAAGCGCCACACTGGGGGAAAATGGCGAACTATTGAAATTTAAAATTCAAAATTAGGACACTAATTAAAAATGATAATTATGTAAAAAAAAGAAAAATGCTTTTAAACACACAATAAAAGCGACTGATAATTATTGAACGATATATATAAATGACTGAAAGAGAGGAGTCACGAGACTTTACACGTGACACAAGATTTGCGGAGTGAGAGCGAAACTTGACTATACTGCTGAGAGAGCAACGAGAACCTTGGCGGCCATATTATATTTTAGAATTACGTCACAATTGGCGCTTTTATTTGATTTTACATTAGTGTGTATGTTTATAACAATGTCACTGACAGTGTATTACTCGTTCGACACTTGACTATTTTTAAAATATACTTAAAACAAATTAACTGGTTAGTCATTCTTATAATAAGTCCAATTATCATTCGATTTAATATAGTTTTAGTAATTTCAGGGCCGTAATGAGTAAGAAAAATTATAAATTAATTTCATGAATATTAAACATTATTTACAATTTACAATAATAAATAATTAAATAAATTTTTAAAATAATTCCCATCCCATGGAAAATTTTAAGTTTTGTCACTTTTAAAACTTGCACTTTTTTTTACTAAATTTATAATAATATATAATTAAATAATTATGTATTATGTAATTAAATAATATTATTATTATTATATTAAATAATTATGTTTAAAAATAATTAAATAATAAATTTTTGAAAAATAAATAAAAAATTATTTTTGAAACTAAAAATTATTATTATTATATTAAATAATTATGTTTAAAAATAATTTAATAATTATGCGTAAAAATAATTCAATAATTATGCTTAAAAATAATTTAATAATTATGCTCAAAAATAATTTAATAATAATGTTTAAAAATAATTAAATAATAAATTTTTAAAAAATAAATAAAAAATTATTTTTGAAACTGAAAATTAGAAAATAGGAGAAAATATTTTAGAAATATATTTTTAAATATAAAGTCAAAAGCAATTTATTTAAAAAGAATTTTTTACTACTATATGAAAAGAATGAGAGTGCTTTAGAAAATTTTAAAACTTTGTAATTCAATACGTGACTTTTTGTAGAGTAACACACGTGTGACTTGGACTTCTGTTTCCAAACAGACTCACGTTTCGTTTTCAACTACGATATTCTTATGAGCCAGACTTTTATTTATATATTTATATACGTGTCAATAGTTATTAAATTTATCACAATCAGTGCAAATATTTATCTTACACTTGATAGCAAATGCAGTTTATCGCATGTGAGAAAAATGTAATCCTTACTTCAATTTTTATTTAATTTTAATTTATTATTATTTATTTTTAATTTTTTTAAATTCGTTTTTTTAAAAATAAAAAATATATTTAAAATTGTAATTTAAAAAAAAGTAACTGCAATTTAATTTAAAAAATTAATTACAGTATTCTTTTTTATCTTTTTGAAAAAAAAATTCTTTATAATTATTGCAATTTTTATTTTCTTAGAAAAGGAATTTTTTTTTTTTTTAAAAAAAAAGAGAGATAATTGTATTTGTACACGCGCGATTTTAAAATATCACAATTTTTTGCAATACTTGGGTATACTTTGCGAAATTAAATTTCAACTTAGTTGATAAAAAATATTTTCAAAATTATATTCTTTTAGGTAAAAAATTAATTTTATTTTCATTTAATATTTTTTCTGATACTATATATATATTTATAGAGCAAAAAAATAATAAATTTCTCCCAAAAAAAAAAATGTTTAAAAAAAAAAAAAAAGAAATTAAATAACTCACCTCTGGAAACTTTGTCGATGGATTCAAATCGTCCTTCAACTTTATTTCGCAAAGAATCGAGATCAAATGGAGTTGTGAATCCATGGTCCACACTGCGACTTTTGCTCCTAAAAAAAAGCACAAATATTATTTTCCATTTTTTTCTTTTTTTTTTGAATTATTAATTTTCATATTTCCAAAATTTGTATACAATAATTTGCTATTAAACTTTCTTTAGTGGTGGAAAAAAAAAATTTATATTAATTATAAAAAATTTTTATAAAAAAATAATTAAAAACTTTTTTTTTTTTTTTTTCAAAAACTAATTTACACTATAGTTGAATATGCATATATAATCAAACTATACGAGTTATTGAACTGAGCTCAACAATTTAATTTATTATCCCCCTAACAACAAACTATGTTTAAGCAATATTACAAAAGCGGAGAGTTTCAACACTCTAATTAACATCGTGGAACGTAATAGTGACCTAATTTTATAAATTAATTTAATATTTTCAGTACCTGCAATAAAAAAAAAAATAATAATTGATTCAATTTTGGAATTTTCAATATATTGATAAATGAATTGATATATATTTAATAGAAACTATTTTTAAAAAAAAAGAACAATTAAAATGAGATAATTAAATTTTGTGAAAATGAAAAACGATTGAAATTAAATTTTTACAATAAATTATTAACTAAACAATTACACGCAAGCAATAATAATAATATATCAAAGGTCAAAAAATAAATTCAAAATTATTGCATCATGCAAAAAAAAAAAAAAATTTATAATCTAATATTAAATATCAAGCGTGCAATATAATTCTAATTTTTATATATGTTCCACAAACCTTCACGAGAGAATGTTTTAAAAATACGAGGCGGCCTATAAAAGTTTAATAAAAAAATATATATATTAAAAATTTCATTTTGTTTTCATTTTTTTTTTTTTTCTATTTTTATCCAAAAGAAAAAAATAACAAGTAATTTTTGTCACTCTTATCATAAAAATGACAACATACAAAGAAAAAAAAAACTAATAAATTTAAAGTCAATAAAAGAATAAAAAAAAGGAATTATAATCTTGTAATTGAATCGAAAAAAAATTTATTGATTCACATTTATTTAAAAAAATTATTAATAAAATAAATCAATGACATTTTTTAACCGAATTTTTAATAAAATATTTATTTTACTGAATTTTTTTTCCATTTTCCAATTGGCTTTATTTCTAATTTATTTTCTAATATATAAAATTATTTGTATTTATTTTTAATTGAAAAAAATTATTTTTATTTATTTATAATTAAAAAAAATATATAGAATAAAATAAAAATTAAAAATTAAAAATTAAATTTTTTTCTAAATTACAAACCTGAAATAAGTTGCTGTGAGATTTTCCGTGGATCTTGTATGTAAGACATCCTGGGACATCCGTCGAGATCTATATGACAACAAAAAATGCAAAACAAAACAAAAGTGAGAAATACATGCTAGCAAAAGTGCAAAATAAAAACTAATTAGAGCAAACTAAATACAAATTAAAATTGCAGACGAAGCAAATATATATATATATATATATATATATATATATATATATATATAAATACGCAGTTAAGTTTAATTAAGCTCCTAGGAAATGCAGCGTGCAATTCCTCTTTATATATATAAATATAAAATACTTTATGCTGTTTTATAATCAACGAATGCAAAAATTATTGGGAATTTTATCCTGAAAAATAATGATCGAATGGTGAATTTTTTTTTTTTTTTGCTCTAAAAGGTAAATGAAATTTAATAAAAAAAATTGTTTTTATCAATTTAAATCAGATTGTGTGGAGTAAAATGAATTTAAATGGGTTTCAGATAAAATATATGATTTTAGAAATACGAATTTTCAAAAATTATTTTCAAAAAAATTATGAATTTTTTTATTCAAATATGTTTTTTAATTAAATATGTAAAAAGTGGAAATTAAAACTATTTTTTAATTTTATTTCAAAACAAAAAATTTTCTTTCGCACAATTATAATTTTTAATTGAAACAAATTAAATTTATATTTGAACCGAAATAAAAATTTATTTGAACCTAATGAAATTTATTTGAACCGAAATAAAATTTATTTCAAGTAAATAAAATTTATTTCAAGCAAATAAAATTTATTTGAACGGAAATGAAAATTTATTTGAACCTAATGAAATTTATTTGAACCGAAATAAAATTTATTTCAAGCAAATAAAATTTATTTGAACCGAAATGAAAATTTATTTGAACCTAATGAAATTTATTTGAACCGAAATAAAATTTATTTCAAGTAAATAAAATTTATTTCAAGTAAATAAAATTTATTTTCACTAAATAAAATTTATTTTTAAACAAATAATTAATTTATCTATTCGAGAGAAGTATTAATTTTTTTTGGGTTTAGAAGAGAAAAAAAAAATTTTTCTATTTGTAAAACAATATTATTATTCTTCAACTATTTTCAGGGTCTAGTGCAAGCACCTTGGTTTTGATATAATATATGTTTAAATTTTCTATACGAAGTTTACCATTTTCGTAATCATTGAGAATTTCGAGATGCCTCGACAATATATGTATATGTAATCTGCATACAAATCAGCTCGTTGTCAAGTTTCATGCATACGAATGTTCAACTCATTTTCCCTCGCACTATTCTTAATGTGGATCTTCAACTTTTAAAATGAAACCCATTAAATTATAATTTCATAATAATTATCAAAAAAAAAAAAAAATTTAAGACCTATTCACCTCTAAATTCATATATTTGCAAAAAAAATTTTCTAAAATTTTTTTCCACTAAATTTTACCAAAAAATTTATTTTCATTAAATACAAAAAGAAATTTTTTTCTACTTTTCAGTGAAACAAAAAAAATTCCAAATTCTATGACAAAAGAGAAAATGGAACATTAATTTTCATGTAGTAATTATACTTAACTAAATTGTCTGCAGTTAAAGTGATTTTATTTCAGCCATTAAAATCGGTTAATGAAAGCTTCTATTAACATTTCAATTCAAAGTCTCTTTTGAGAGAGAGAGAGAGAGAAAGAGCTGATCCACTATCTGAGATTTCGCAGCTTAATTCAATGGAATGCTCAATGGTAGATATATGAAAAGAGAGAAACCAACTGGAGAATTATTGGTTTAATATGGTGTATGAAATTCAAATATTCTACAAATGTTGAAAATAACATGGTTTAATTAGAATTCTAACTATACTGAGAGATAATAAAAATTTTTTAAAAAAATAATTCCAGTAAAATAAGAATTTTTTCAAAAATTAAATTTTTTAATTTCACTTCAAAAAAAAATCCTGCCAATTATTTATTATAAATAATTAAAATTTTTTTTTTTTGTTTAATCTTTGAAATTATTTTTCAAACTAAAAATTATAATTTTTTTGGAAATTATTATTTAAACTAAAAATTATAATTTTTTTGGAAATTATTATTTAAACTAAAAATTATAATTATTTTGAAATTATTATTTAAACTAAAAATTATAATTTTTTTTTTTCAATCTTTGAAATAAATTATAATTTTTCTTTTTTTTAATCTTTGAAATTTACGGTTATAAATCTTTGAAACGTAAAAAGAACGTGACAATGTACTTTTTCATGCATAAATTTCCTGTTACGTCAATATAAACTCGCGAGTTGCTTGAAATAATTGAAAAATACGTTTTTGTTTAGAAGTATAATATGTAAAATATATATATTTTTTTTTTCAAAAAGAAAAAGTTGTCATTCGTGATGAAATCGCGCGTATAACATATCTATAATAACAAGTGAAAATTATCAAATTTGGCATGCATAACTAAATGTTTTGCCAAAAGGAAAATCGATGAGATATAATTTTCTGTGAAAATCTGTTGCTTATTATAAATTACAAAACTTTATTGAATTTATTTTTAGATTTTTTTTTTTTTATTTATTATTAGCTTTCTATTTGTTATTCAAAAAAGCGTTATTTTAAAAATAATTTTCAATTTTATAAAAAAAATATCTGAAATTATTTATTTTATTATCAAATAAATATTTATCTGGACGAAATAATTTTTAATTTTCAAATCAAATAAATTGATAATAGTAAAATTATTAATTTTCTTTTTCTCTTTTTATTAAATTACGTTTTATTTTCAATGCATGTTTAAAAATGACGAAGGAAGAAATTTATAAAATAAATTAAAAGAAAAGAATACAAAAAGAAAAAAAATTAGGTTGATTAAAAGAAAACAGTCCTGTGTTTGAAGAAGAAGAAAAAAAAGAACGATTTTCTGCTTCTTGTTTCAAAAGAAAGTAGATAGTTTCCTTTGATTATCTCTCGTGTGAGAGCAATTTGCTCTATTTTGTCGCCACAACGAGCAGGTGTTTTCAAGAACCTATTTTAAAGCACTCTTGTTTGGAATAATTAGACTTTTTTTTTGTTCATTCTAAATATTTTTTTTTTTTTTTTGAAAAATAAAAATTCACTTTCCAGTAAAAATCCAATACAAAAGGAGAATAGAACAAAATTATCAAAAAAAAAAAAAAAAAAAAAAAAATGTCACAAAAAAAATCTTTTTAACTTCTAATTTAAAATTTTATATAATAAACATGAAAATTCTCTACACAAATTTTAATATGTAAATTATTTTGTCTTTTAATTAACTTTTCATACACTGGGAGAAAAATATTTAATTTCCCTTTGTGTGATAATGAAAAAATTAATTTGAGAGAAAAAATACATTTCTGCCCCCTTTTTTTAAGATTTATTTTTAACACAAAAAAAAAATATTTATTGCAATTTTTTTTTCTTTGACTAGGTATATTATAGAATTAATCAGTGATTTTCTAGAATTAAAAAAAATAAACTAATTATTATTAATAATTAAATATTACTAAATAATTAATTATTATTAATAATTAAATATTACTAAATAATTAATTATTATTAATAATTAAATATTACTAAATAATTAATTATTATTAATAATTTTAATAATAATATTAAAAAAATATCAAATTTTTGAAAAAAAAAAAATATGAAATTTTTCGTGAAAATTAAACGGTAAAATGACATTGTCATTTATATAAACGAGTTACCAAACTTGTTTGACAATATTTATCGTCTTTTTTCCTGTTTTTTTATATTTTTTTTTTTTTTTAAGAAAACGGTGCAGGAAAAAGAATTTTTTTTTATAAAAAAGGGGGAGTACTTCTATACTCTCGAAATTCAAATTAAACTTGGGAACCAGTAACGTCGACCTATTTTGCCATTTTAGAGCGACAACGCATTCCCTCGCAATGCGGTTTAATATTCTCTGCAAATACTGTTGTATTTACACAGAACAACGTACCTCAAGCGTGCCCGATTTTTTTTTTTTTTTTGGTTTAAATTTCACTAGGGATTCATTTCTTTTATAAGGAAAATTTACTTTTCTTATCATCTTTACCAATATATATATATTTGGAAAAAAAAATTTCGTATTTTTAGATAAAAAAAAAAAAATATATTTAATTAATACTTAAATTTATCAGTTAATTAATTAAAATTATTAATTTTCGAAATTGGAAAAAGTTAATTAAAATTTTAAAAAATGTAACAATATCGTATATATGAAAAAAGTCATAGATTTTAATGGATGTTTAGCGTTAATTAAATTAGATGTTAATGTATATAGGGGATTGTTGTCTTTGGTCCATAAATGGAGCTGTGCCATTTAAGATGATGATAATACAAAAACTACAACTAAGCTTATACTCTTAAATATAAATAAACCTACTTTTACGAGAAAATCCAAATGACTTTTTTAATGGGTTTTATAAACTTCATTTTACACAATTACTTTAAATTCTATTGTATTTATTCAAGAATTTTAATCAGGCAAAATAATCAAGATATTCTAATTTTGAAATTCTACCAAAAATATATTTAATAAAATATTTAATAATTAATTTTATTATTAAAAATATTATATATAAAAATATTAATTAATTATTTTATTTTGAAAAATATTAATTTATATAAAATAAAAATTCAATTTTTTTTATATATATATAAACAAAATTTAGTTATTTATTTATTAATTAAGCTTCAGCCTTTCGGTCCAGAAGTGGACTTGGTTTAATACAAAATTAAAAATACAAACAAAATTTAGTTAAAAATTCAACATTTTTTGATTTTATTTCTAAGACAAAAAATTTTATACAAATAAAAATGTAGTTTTTATATTTTAAATGGGAAAAATTTATTTATCCCCCCCACCCCGAAAAAAAGTGTAATCCCGGAAACAAATTGCCATTGTGTCATGAACAAATAATTGAGCTTGTGTGTGACACTGCGCTTCTTTTTTTTTTCTCTCTCTCTCTCTCTCTGCTCGTAAAAGATACTTGAATGAATAAAATTCACCTTTTTCGCGAGGAATAAAATAAGCTCCCTAG